TACTCATTTGACGCGCCGTGCTCGTGGCTAATTTTCAAAGACAGTAGTTTGATCGTATATTTGCTTTTATATCACTAAGACTAAGACTACTTCACTAAATTTCACGAGGTTTCCCTATAAATATAAAATGACGCCAACAGTGTTTTGAGTAATCTACGTCACAATGGGAGTGACCGCTGACCGAAGATAAGTTGGCCGTGATTACAAAAATTAATGGCAGGACGGTTTTCAAACCGTAATTTCTCGCCCTAGAATTGACTTTTAACTAAAATTATTATTGAAAAGGCTTCATTAATCGCTAAAAATTCATATTATAATGAAGTAACTGAGTTTTTTAGGTTTTCAAATTATAGGGAGGTTTCATACAGGCCTGATTTTTTTCAGGTCTGATTTTCGCTATTGCTTAAATAGCGTCATCTACTGCGAGGATCGTGCATCATACGTATCAAATACCGCAGTTCAAAATATATGATTTTCATATATCTATTCTATCTCAGTTTCTTTTTGTGTAATATTTTTATTCCTTGTCGACAATCTCCAATGAGACGGACGCTAGACACAGGAGAGTGACAGCAATAATATATAAAACCCTGTGATATTCACAGACAAATTACTTAATATCGTAGTACCTGAGAACTTCTACCTAGTCATGAGCCCCGCGGTTTACCAATTTCACGCTGTTGTTTTTTAGTACTTTATCAACGTATATGGTATGGCGTTCCATAAAAGATGTTGTGCCTCTCCTTTCCAAAGAATTCCGAGCGGTTCACCGAAAATTTAAGGTCAAACTTCTTGGAAGTAAAAGAAACAAGACCAGAGCAGACATCTGTTTTAGCTACACCAACAACATCCTCGGCCCTATGCTTGGGGCGTTGTTCATCAGAAATGCGTTTGGTCCAAGCAGCAAGGAGAAGGTAGGAAATGCACCAGGCTATGTCGTTCCCAGTCTTAACTTTCTGTTTCCTCTTTTCAATTCGGTAACAAACAATGGATGTTCCACGGTTCTCTCTACGCAAAACTGATCACGTTATTTTTCCTTTTAAGGTGGAAGTAATGATGGACGGCATCATCCGGGCATTTAAAGATCGTGTGGCGGGCGTGGGCTGGATCGATAATCAAACTGTCCAAGCCGTCAGAGAAAAAGTAAGTTAAAAAATGTTGAGTTATGAACAGTGCCTTAAATGAAAATACCAACACTGTCCTTCAATACATATGATGTACGATCCTCGCAGTAGATGACGCTATTTAAGCAATAGCGAAAATCAGACCTGAAAAAAATCAGGCCTGTACGGGATTCGAACCACTGACCTCTGCGATACTAGTGCAGTGCTCTACCAATTGAGCTAACAAGCCACCTTGGAGCAGGCCGTTAAGTTGATTCGATAATGCAAGTTGGCTTGTTAGCTCAATTGGTAGAGCGCTGCACTAGTATCGCAGAGGTCAGTGGTTCGAATCCCGTACAGGCCTGATTTTTTTCAGGTCTGATTTTCGCTATTGCTTAAATAGCGCTATCTACTGCGAGTATCGTACATCATTTGTATCTGGTACCGCAATTAAAGATATATGAACTTCATATATTTCATTGTAACTATCCTTCAATAATGGCTGAAATTTTGTGCAGACAGATTTCTTTAGCATCATGAAAAAAATCAACTTTGGTTATTCAATTGAACAAAAGCAATTGATTCCATCCAAACATTTTTGAACAAGCTGGTTTCATATGTGATACATCGTGGCCATTCATCTCGCCTCCTTTTGAGAGTTTTCGATACTATTACCCGGATCCTACTGCTTCTTCCGATTCGAGACAAACGGGGCGATTATACGGAAACACCACCCAAACTAATCACTGAGGACCCGCACGGTCGGGATGATCTTGAGTGGCCGGATTGAGCCGAATTCTATCCGATCTAAATTCCGCACCTTCTGTATCTTTAGTGATCGTCTGAGTAGTGTTCTATGCAATCGACCCGAATGTCTCGAACTACAACGACTATTACCGAGACGATTCGATGTTCCCAATCAGCTAGGATTCTAAAGAGAATCGGCTAGAACTCAGCTCATTCCGGCAGATCTTATGAGAAGTCAATGATTCATTAGGTAGGGTTTCCATAGAACCTTCCCGATAGATCGCTTATTTTTTTTCTTTGAAAGGAGCACTCTTATGAAACTTCCCTGTAATTTGGGAACCCGAAAAATCCAAATATTTTTACATAAAACTTGAAATGTTCACTAGTTAATCGTCTCCGAATTTTTTTTCCGAATTGTCACACGGGAAGATCGTCAAATTCGCGATTTTCTTTTGATCCGCCATTAGTTTACGTAATCAATTGCCAGACTCAAGAAGACTTGGGCGAGTTTTGAGCGTGACGAAGACTACTCATTTGACGCGCCGTGCTCGTGGCTAATTTTCAAAGACAGTAGTTTGATCGTATATTTGCTTTTATATCACTAAGACTAAGACTACTTCACTAAATTTCACGAGGTTTCCCTATAAATATAAAATGACGCCAACGGTGTTTTGAGTAATCTACGTCACAATGGGAGTGACCGCTGACCGAAGATAAGTTGGCCGTGATTACAAAAATTAATGGCAGGACGGTTTTCAAATCGTAATTTCTCGCCCTAGAATTGACTTTCAACTAAAATTATTATTGAAAAGGCTTCATTAATCGCTAAAAATTCATATTATAATGAAGTAACTGAGTTTTTTAGGTTTTCAAATTATAGGGAGGTTTCATAAGATTGCTCCTTTAAGGCAGCTTATTAGACAATAAGGACAATTAGGACGGCAGGTTCGAATAATTCCTTGTATCTATTGTTGAATGAGAAACAAAAGCGGGCTTTTGTTTCTGTGAATAACAACCAGACAATGGAGTTTATTTGCATACTTTACTTCTCAAAAACGAAACGTAAAACAAACTGATATGAAAACCTTCAGAAAAGCGAAGAAAAGTCAGTAATTTGAGATTGAGCAGATGAATAAGTGACGAGATAAATCGATGAGACATCGGGCTTAATGCCCTGTGTACGTGCCTTTTAAATTCTTCCAGTTGCCGCAATTTCATGTGGTTGGCTTTTTCTTTTTATTTTGGCGCTCAGGCGGATGCAGCACTTTATCAAGTTGGATATCCTGATTACTTGTGGAACGAAAACAAATTCTCCGAAAGATATAAAATGGTAATTATAAATATATTGATCTAGTGTTCCGAAACAAAATTGCATAGATATTTTTCCAACGGATTAGGTGTGTATCCTCGGTAGTATAGTGGTGAGTATCCCCGCCTGTCACGCGGGAGACCGGGGTTCGATTCCCCGCCGGGGAGAATAATTTTTTCTTTTAATTCGGAAAAAGAAATTTTACAAAAGCTAATACTCCACGCTTTAAATTTTTGCGAACATTATCAGAGCATGAAATATCATCTGCCTCCTCGTCCTATTCTCCCGATCGAGGACACGGTCAACATTTCGGTCACTTTCAAACACCGACAGCCAAAAGACAAGTCTCGATGCGTGTTTTTTTCCCCATTAACTTATGCCTTTTACCCGTGATTTTTCTCTTAGCTGAACATTACAGAGAACCAGTGGTTTCAGAATGTACTGAACACCGACCAATTTTCTAACTATCAAACTTACCACAAGTGGGGAAACCCAGTTGATAGACGTCAGTAAGTGACTAGCATCGAACTTCTTGCAGTATCATCTTTGAATCAAACATTAGGGTAATAGGTAACATTAAGAGAAGATATGATGATTTTTAATCAAATTCTTCGTGTCGGCACTTTAGTAAATTATAGAGATTAGGAGGGAGAATATGTAAACTTATGTTACGGTGTAACGGCTTTCAAAAGCAGTTTCTCGCGCAGACTTTCCCATGACACGCACGGTTGGATGGGATCATTTGATAAATCTTTCCTCAGAACTAAAACAAATTTGACAGTTTGGAGAAATTGTCGACGAAAAATTATTATAGAGAAAATATGCTAATGAAAAGTTATTTGTAAGGGAAACCGTGAGGAAAGGATTCAAAAGAAATACTTCTTTTATTAACATCGCCAATTTTTCTTGGCTAAGGTTTATGGCCAGACACTTTTTCCTGACATGTTCTGCTCTGTTCAATTTGAAAACTTGTGTTTGTTCCCTTCGTTTTACAGGTGGATAACTGTTCCTCAGTTGGTGAACGCTTTCTATGTTATAACTAAGAATGAGATAGGTAAGAAAATCAATCGTTCGTAAGAAAGACATGGTTGACCTGAGTAATAAAACTTTGAAACCAGCCCTTAAAGACCATTCGTAGTACCGATTGCAACACAATTCAGTTTGGTCTTGTATCAAAAGTAATTCGGACTGCAGTAATTGATAAAAACTTAATTATAAATATCATGGGTGACTTCATTCATGGCAAGATGTCGGAAAACGCCAGAGAACTGGACTCTTAGTCACACAACAACTATACGGTCCTACACGAGTAGCAAGGCATAACCACTAGTTTGGACTACAAATCATGCACATCGCGTTCATGTTACTGTACTTCTGCTATACAACCATTATAATTATTAAAAAAATACAACAACAACAAAACTAGGTGAAATGTTGCAAAAAACTTGTTTTCTTTATTTTCTCAGTGGTACCAGCGGGAATTCTGCAGGAGCCATTCTTTTATGGAAACGACATACCAAGGTAATGACACAAAATAATTTGGATATATCAACAACGTTGAAATGGTAATTTGGCCACCGTAACGATTACAAAAGCTGACGTTTCGAGCGTTAGCCCTTCGTCGGAGCGAATAATGACACAAAAATTTAATATCTCAAGCAAGGTAAATTTTAATGTGGTGTTTTATCAATTGCTAGTTTTAATTTGTGTCGCTGTTTTGTCTTCATTTTTCGTTGTTTTGTATGTTTCTAACCATGACCTTTCATTGTCTCATTTCAGGTCCATAAGTTACGGTGCCATTGGTCACGTGCTCGGTCACGAGTTGACGCACGGTTTTGATACGACAGGTAACAATTTTTACGTGGTCATAGCATACAACTTAGTTCCCCAACCTCGTTCCCAGGGCCTTTTTCCTTAGTTGGGGGTGGGAACGAGGTTGTTAGTCCCCTCGACTTGCCCAGATTTAAATTCTTTGCCATCAATTTTTTTTGTTTTCGTAATATAAGAGATGAGAACAATACTTCTCTTTCTCTCTGCTGCAGGACGAAAATTCGATAAGAACGGTGAACTTATTGAAAAACGAACTCAGTGGAGTGAGCCTGCAATAAAGATGTTTCAAGAAAAAGCTAAATGCTTGGTGGAGCAATTTTCACAGTACAAAGTCCTCAACAAATTCCATGTAAGCTTGAAACACGATCTTTCGTTAGTCTTGCATTTTAGGTGATTCATATAAGATAGTTAAAGTCCGCGCACAAACCAATAAGTGGCTTATTCTTCCGGAATTAATCCGACTGCAATAAATAGTTTGAACCCAGGGGTAACCTTTGATTGCGGCTTTTGATCATCCTTAGGTGAAAAGTTGTCGGTAGTGGTAATTGTCAAAACGTCAGTCGTTACTTCCCACAACAATTTTCTGATCAGGACTTCTCTCACCCGACGGACGATCCAACAACACGATCAAGTCAATCCCGCCATTGATTCCGATTTCCATGGCAAAAGAAGTGTTACTCCTTTTAGATGAAACGTTAGCTCATAGCAAGTTAACGCAGAGTGGTTCGTTAGATTTCCCTTTTAGTTTCCTGGTGCATGCTCACTCCCTTCCCCCCTCGGCCCCGTGGGTGAGAGAGGTACTGTGAAAGCTAAGCGCTGTGTACACCGAGACGAGGCTTGAGCCCCCATCTTGATCTCGAGGCAGCGTTCAGTGTGTAAACCCTTAGTCATCGCCTTTCTCATGATCATTACTAGATAATTTTTCAAACAGTTTTGATCTTTAACATTTTCTTAATAATTGACCAGATCAACGGTCTTCAAACTTTGGAAGAAAACGTGGCAGACGGAGGAGGCCTGAGTCTAGCATACCATGTAAGCAGTATCACGTGATCGTACTTTTCTTTTTATTTAATAAACAGATTAGTGGAGAGAAAACTCTTGGCGAAAACATTGCTGACTTGGGAGGAGTCAACCTTGCTTATCACGTAAGAATAATTTCGTTATTACCCAAATTACGTCGGAGTTTCCTTTTTCAAATTTGTTTTTGGTTCAAATGATTTATTTTTGTTTTGTCAAGTGTGTTCATCTGCTGTAATTTACTCTTAAGATACTTATCCTCAAAATGATAAACAGGTTTATGTCGAACTTAGACTCTACCTGTGTCGTTAAGTTGTAAGTTCCCACCTCATTGCCGTAGAAGGCCTGGGGTACCAGAATACAGCCAATTATAATAAACGAAAGTAACCTAACCGGCCAAGTAAACCTTAAGGTAAATGCGCGTGTTCGACGCAAAGAGCGGGAAAACGCATGACCGGGCCGTTACAACAACCTACGAATGTGAAGAAATAGACAAAAGAATCTGCTAATGAAATCTCCGCCAAAGAAAAACATGCATTTTCGACGCTCAAGACGCGAGAAAACTCGAGGCGCGAGGTCTTGACAGGTTTTACAGAGCTGGGTTGGAAAAACTATTTCTTTAAATAAGGAATGTTGGCAACTTTTCCAGGAAAAAAATTCTGCTGGGCCTCTACTGATAAAGGAGCTTTTACTCCTCTGTCTCTCTTGTTTCTCATCGTTCGATCTACCTTATGTCTATCTGGTAGGCTTATAATTCGTTTATCGAGAAGTATGGGCAGGAACAAGTACTGCCGGAGCTTAACATGACAAGTCAAGAGCTTTTCTTTATCGGATATGCTCAGGTAACTTAAACAGCTCAGCATCCTACTGTGTTTCACAGTGTGTTGTAGAGTCCTAGGCTATAGTCTTAGTTGTCTCAGGTTCCAGTGTTTCTCTTTTTTTAATGCAAATTCCCAAAGAAATGTGGATTACCAAGTTGTACTGTTCTTGATATTTCATTTTCTTTTATCTTCGAATCAACGCCCCATTCTCCCAATCGGGGGTAACGTTTATCAGAAATTTTTCTTTCATCTGTGGTATTTACTCGAGAGCAGTGTTCAGTTGGGTGAATACGATACATTTTAAATGAGTGCTCTGGACCAAGTTCACTTGGCTCGGGTCCAGCATATTGTATTTAGGACATTAACGAGTTTTCTGATTCTTTGAAGTTTTGAAATTTTCCTTTGCAGAAAGAGTGTACCCACACCACTCCAGCCGCCGAATTCTTGTCAGTAACAGAGGACGTACACGCCCTGACTAAATACAGGTAATTCTGGAGGTTCATTTGACACGGAGGCGTAATTAATGGTTAGAGCGTTCCCTGAACACTGTGTCAATCGATCCGGGACCGAGCTCTTACCGTAGTTTCTGTCTTGGAAAAGATACTTTACCCAATGCTTTTCACATCCTAGGAGTACCCATGAGTACTATCCTAGGAGTACCACACCGGTGAAAAGTGGTGTTCACGTGCGCTGATTGGCTAGCTCGGGAGTAATTAGCAAGTGCTTTATACCTCGGCAGAGACAAAATCGCGCGTCAAGAGTTTAAAAATTCCGAACATTTTCTGGTATGTTTACATGAATAAACTAACTTTTTTTGTTTCTGAGTGGTAGGTACTAGCTAAAACAATTATTAACCTTTACTTCGGTGAACAATTGTTAGTTACCCAGGAACTGTCAGGGAAAACTGGAGAAGTGCCATTTTCCCTTTGTTGGCCCCATCCCCAACTAAGGGGAAAGGCCTTGGGAACGAGGTTGGGTGTTTCTTGGCATTATTTCGTAACGCAATGTTATTTTCTTTCCTTTTTTACTCAGGGTTATCGGTACCTTGTCAAATTTTAAGGAATTTTCCGATGTTTTCAAGTGTAAAGAGGGATCATATATGAATCCAAAGAAGAAATGTGAAGTTTGGTAGACGTACGATGTACGAAGGTCATAAGAACAAGTGCTCTAGCATATTCGTCGACTTTGCTATGATATTAGGGACCTTTAGCACTGACGACGAGAACGCGGACGACGACGTATATGACCGATTTAGGCCTGGGAAGGGACCTTCGTCCACGGCGAGAAACATAAATACTTTAGCACATCGGTTACGTGGACGAGTCCTTTACTGCTTATTTGAAAAGGCAAAAATTATCCACCAAAACAATTTAACTTTTTTTCAGTGTTGTAATCAACGTCAAGTGATTCAGAGCTAAGCTAAGTTTACATACACAGTCGATCCGAGCGGTTCGGATATTTTTCAAAGCCCAGAAATCTTAAAAATGTCAGCTGGTATAAATTACAAAACTATAACGAAATGTCCGCGATTTATCTTTAGAAAAGCATTTATAAGGCTACGTACATACCCTGCAGCACTTTTATCATCATCCGCCATTGCTTTCTCCGCTGTAAACTGAAAAGCTCAATCTGCAACTCAAAAGAAATAAAGTTTTTTTCCATCACGGTTCGATAAAATTACTTTCGGCACTGTTTTTATTCCCTAACCGACCCTTTAGATTGAAGAAATCCCTTAGATAGGTAAGTAGAAATTAGAGAACAAATAACACATACTCACGTTCTCGTCAAGACGGCGAATGGCGCCAAATGGCGTACTGCACGACGTCGACATGTGGACGACGACTCGTGCTCGATTGGGCATGCGTGGTAGCATCGAAGTTCGTTTTCCCAACTTCCGGTCGGTCACGTTCACGTTCTCGTCGACACTGCTAAAGGTCCCTAATTCCAAACCCCGTATGCAGTTTTTGTTTTGTTTTTCTTTTCTTACGTCTGCTTTCAGTCGACCGAAGAGCGTTCTCTTCCAGTCGAATATTGTAACGGTAAGAAAAAGACCTACGTCCGACCTCTGGTCCGACATACTCCAAACAGCAGTTATGGCGTTATCCCATCAAAGTAGATGTAGATGTTCCGCTGTCTTCGCGAGAGTTGTTCATTTTATTTCAGCGCCTTGATCAAGACGCTGATGGGTAAAATACTGACACCTACGTGGGGATTTTTTAAGATTAGTTATGAGTTCTAACTCCTTGTTACTAAACTAGTATAGCCAAAATAACGGAATAAAGATCTAAAATCCCTCAGTTGTCTTATATGTCATGGTAACGCTGGTGCCCAAGTATTTCACAATCAAAATCAGAGGGATATGGGAACAAAGTCAGGTTCTGCTGCACGTGCGGAGAACCCACCGCCCACCTCGCGCGCGCTCACAGTCGCCAGCTGACCCGAAACTCGCGGGCTTTGCCACCCGTATCCCCAGCAACTCACACAGGCAATGATAGCCTGCTCGCTGGTTATATAGAGTTTGGCTTTTTTGTTCGCTCTTCTGAATTTTGTAAAGAAATAACTGAGAAGCTGGCTCGCTCAGGGTA